GACCAATCACTCCTCGTTCCGCCGGGACTACTCCACGCGACATAGAAGCGTGCATTCTGTGAACTTAATTTCACACCTCGTACATTTTAAATAGTGAGTTGTGTCTCTGGCCTCGTGGCTTTACCAAATGCCTTTTGGTAACTCCGTTTATATTACAGCTCTTACTACGTCCGTGGTAATTTTATACGTAAATGAGATTAACGTTTTATTTTAGCTGTAATTTAATTCGCGTTTTTCGTGTATCTTCCTTTCAGTACCATAGGTTATATATGTCAGTTGATGTCCTCATTTAATATGTTTTATTTCAGTTAGAGACGTTATATTGCAAGTCATCGTAATTTTCTGTCAGAAGTACTTTGCTCATCAGCGAATAAAACCGAGTCTCTCCTTTTACTTTCCAGTTGCATCCTTTTCATTCCAACACTTTCTTGTCTTCCGACCTGTATTTATGTAAATAATGAGGGCGGTGATGGTCCGCATTCTTGTCACAGACATCGATGAAATTCTGAAGGGATTTCAACATAAAAGCTCGCCTTGTATTTCAGTACTAACGTAGTGTTATCACGCAAGACGTTAATTGTTTGGAAAATTTACAGTAACCTACGTGCTTTCAGCACGATCCATAATTCAGCGTGTTTCAGTCTTTTATATGCGTTTACATTTCATGAAAATAAAGGAACTAGTGGTAAATTACGTTCCCCCCTCCTTTTTGCATTGTTTCGGTGAATATTTTGTTGCCTTGCTGTATCTAAATACAAGAAGACTAAAATGTAGAATGTGTAATTTTGTCTGGTGTATTGCACGGATGTGAAAAATTCGGTCGTGATACAGGGTGATAAAATTAAACTCACAGTAATGGCCGGTGCCTTGTGAGTGGTCACATGCAACCAAGAGCACACTCTAGTGTCGGAGGGCAGACGTTTAATTATTCACAACCAGCAAAGAAGCATTCAGATTTCAAATACGCGAGAATAAATACAAAAAAAGGAAGAGAGAAAAATTCGTCGGTGGTCGTTCGTTAAAAGAGAAATAACTGGCGTCTCAGTGTGTGTGAGCGCAGGAAGGATATTTGGCGGCTGTACCGCGAGAGACGGACTTTCCGCTATGCGCGAACGCTGCGTCCGTTGCAGCAGACAGCCCCGGGCCAACGACGGTATAAGACGAAGGAGTTTTTGTAATTCATTACGACATTCACGTATGAATCGGTGCTGATTTATGCAGGACATGGATAAGATTACAATAGAGAACCTTTTTTTTTATATATCAGGTATTCACCGGAGGAGTCAGAGGAAGTTTTTAGGGAAATGGAGTTCTCCAGAGGAACAGTTTGCATAATGCGATTCCACTTGGTCGCCCGATAGGACTTTACTGCATTGAGTAGCCGTAAGAACCTCGAGTCTTATATAGTTTGCGCAATCTTGTCAATAAAGTAAGAAGAATTTGTGTCAACGGACAGGAAACCAAAATGTCAGCGCATTGAAGTAAAAAAAAAAGTAGGACAGTGTCCGATCGCAGCTTGCATGTCTCTTAAGTACCCTGCACAAGAAATTGGAGGTAAGAGAGACAGCTGCAAGATTATTGAACCTATGACCTTACGCTGTTTGTGGTCATGAGGCCCACTTACTAGACTTAGTTTCTGTAAATAAGTTCGTGGCGTCAGATTGGATCTCAGGTTGTCATGGTTTTCCGGACGAAGCTTTGTCTTGCATAAGAGGATACGTGAACACACAATACACCGCAGTGGTAACACGAACTATCCACATATTTTACTCAGACTTCTGTAGAAGCCGGAAGTCGACATTTTGGTTTTCCGCATGTTATTAACACGCAGGTTATTGTCAATATATCTTCAGGGTTCTAAATATTGTTTCAGTGGGGCATTTGACCCCCGGGACACTTTCTCTTGAACGTATCTCACTCTTCCTGGCGAAATTAACATTTAACACGCGATGATCCGCTGTGGACCTATTCATGCCATCTCGCAGGACGCCGTCACACGTGAACGTCCTGTTATCACCGCTCGCCGTGTCGCCTTGTCCTCCCTGAACTTGGAAACTGTAGCAACCGTCGCTTTCCCTTAATTACGACAGAAGTCGCGAATATCTGCGACGGTATGAGACTTTCTGTTTTCGCAGTCTGTCGCCGGCGTCCTAGAACTACACGCCATGCAAATAAAGGTGCCCACGTCCGTGTAGCATTCTCCGTGGGCAGTTGTGCACAACGCCGAGCGGGACGAGGCTAGAACGCGACTCTCTGACCCACTTTGCGCAGTCCTACACTGAATCCAGCTGAGTCTGCTGCCCCTTGATTCAGATTGTGTGCTCCGACGATATGTAGTCTGGGCTATTGGAAAAGCTTCGTTAAGTAAATTAATTAATAAATAAATAGACTGCTTAAATATTGCCTTCATGTTTATTTATTGCACGTGAAAGTAACAACGGTCCAGACATTATACGTTGCACAGAGCTGTAAACTAATTTTCCTTGCATCTTGTTTAATATTCTCCACAACGAATAGTACTTGTAATAAACATTTAAGAAAATAATTAACTGTATTTATCATACGGACGGATTTTCTTTCAAAGAAAGCTCAAACTACATCACCATCAACCTGTCAAGACGCCGACTCGTTCCTGCCCCAGAATTCGTCAGGACGTTGTCGAAGTCAGTCTCTGCTTCTTCGTCTTTCGGACGTTTCGGAACGTAGCGTACCGCGAATCTGTTTGTACTTGTAGTTTCAAGCATTCGTCAGTGCATTTCCCGCGCGTAATGCGTGCTAAGTATCTTATATTCCTTCTGTGAACTTTACAACTGCGATCGTGGTCTCGTCTTTACACTACATTCTTTGAATAAAGGCGCTTGGGTGGGGCTTTGCTTATATATTATATATTCTTATTATTGTAGGCTATCTTTCCGTGATAAAACAGAAAATGTCTCATTTTATTCGTTCACGATTATGACGTCAAGTACGGGCAGCTGGAATGCACTTTTTTCTCTCCGAGATTTGTTTAAAATGAGCTCACGTAGAAGGGAAATCCCGGCGGCGCTGCTGAAGGTGGAATATTTGTCCTTTGGAGTGGTATAATATTCGATAGTTCTATTACTCCTTGCGTTTTGGCAAGTTTTCTTTAAATTTCGTGGTGCAGTGTGAATCGGGCACACAAGGCGTCACCGTAGACGCCGTGGTTTGTTCATCGACGGCTGACTGCAACAAAGTCACTGAACCACAGACGAACGACGGAAGCTAAAATCATTTGAATTTGCTTCAGATTGAATGCCTTGTGTGGCCGTGATTTTACGTTATTAGCAATAATTAATACAGGATTTTATGCAGTTATATTATTTTTAAGTCTGTTGGTTTCCGATGTGGTATTATAAAAATGTTACACGGGTGAAACATCAATTGGATGTCAAGAATTGAAATGCGATATGATGTCCAGGCTTCTTCTGCAATGTTAAACGCGAGGGGAAATATAACTAATTTTCACAGTTTTCTTTAAATGTGAAAATTTTTAGAACGTACTCCGGAATTGCCCTGCTAATGGCATGGTAGTTATGTCAGATTTCCAGAAGTTTTGTTCAGTTTGTGCAACACGGCCTCAACGTGCTATGAAGACAAATACTTTAACAAGTGCGTGCCTCAGCCTATAAGTCGAATTTGAGTCGCGAGGTTTACACCGAACTTTATGAGGGGAAAATAATTTTCGTTGTCCTTATTGGTCCAGTGAGAGCTATTTTACATGACTACGAATCATTCACAGGCACTGAACTGCCTTAGCAGTGGTACACTGAATTAAACTTCGGTCCTAAAAACTGACCGTCGTACAAAATACTCGTATTTTTATGTGGCAGAATCAGTGGCCGTCTAAGATACGCGATTTTTTTTTCGAAACTTCCTTCGACGTGCCGTGTGTCGACTTTGCGACAGGATCTTCAGTAAACGAACATCAAGGCGAACGGGTTGCGTCCGTCAGATTGCGAAGAGTGCTTGATCTGATTTGAGCACTACTTGAAGTATAAGTCCGAATTAATGAAACCGATTAATTGCACGCGACCAGCGCTCAAGTGACAAGAGTTGCAGAGTTTGCACGCATGCGCACAATAAGCTTGAGCCACGTCAAAAGTTGCTCGTAGCATGGAAAGTGTAACGTTTGTTTGAGACAGTTCTGGCATATCGCAACCTCCAAATGTAGCAGCATTAACATATAACAATTTTATGAGGGTTACGTGGTCAGTCAAACCTCCAGTCGATAAGCCGTATCATATATTTTTTTCGAAACATATCTTGTCGAATTCTTTTATATTGAATTAGCCATATTATCCGGGATTTCCTGTGACTCGCGGCCTCTGTAGCAGGACTTACCGTGTTTGGACGAGATCTGCCGAAATGTTACTGGCTTGTTCAGTGAGAGAAATCACACGTTCGTGTTCATCAAGTTAAACAGTTCATTCGCGACATTAGTTTGGGAGAAAACTTCCCGGCGGTTGGCAAGACTGACTTCTTTCTTTGGTCTAGAAATTACTCGCTGAGTAACAAACGTGTCCTCTTTTGGATCCTGCTGTAAGCCAGCTCACTGCCTCAGAAATTCTTGTCTGATGTGGACTTCAGAGATGGAAACGTTTGACGAAGTCTCTCAACATTTAAGCAAACCATTCATCGGCTATCGGAGGTAGCATTACGGGCTGACACGGAAATAACTGCTCCAGAGGAAGTTTTTTTAAGTAGGAACCGGCGTGGAAACTTCATATTAGCCTTCCACGCTTCATGGCCTTGTAACCTACCTGGTCTATCACCTTTAGGTATCCCTTTAATTCACCCTCATGAATTCGATTATAAACAATATTTTAAAAATCGAAATTATTAAATTTCTGAGTGCGATTTTAAAGGAATGCGTTCAACGGAAAATATTAAACAAAATTTTGACCGACGACGTTTGAGCTCCTGAGGCTGTCAATTAATGAAGCCCGTGTCCAGGGGTGCCAACTGAATACTGTACTCACTTGCAGATGCGATGAGAGTGGCAACGGCCAGCAGCGCCGGTCGGAACAGCATCGCTCCGGTCTGAGGACAGAGTAGTAACTGAGGCAAGCAAGCGACAGGCCTCGCTCTTGTAGCGAGGGGCAGAGAAATCTCTCTGCCCCTCCACTGACTGACGTCTTACTCTCGGCCCAAAACAATTGGACCATGTCAGACTGACAACTCGCGCCTAGACACCGGCACTGACTCGGAGGTCTGCTGTTCGATGTCAGGGACCACGCACGCCTTCTCGACGCGTTCTCGCTTTAAAAGTCGTCAAAACCTTGAAGAAATGAGTTATTAAAGTAGTGAAAGTCCACAATTATGATCTTTTACTCAGAAGATCAATTATTCAGCCAATAGGAAAGGGTTCAACGCCCATATGTAAGATAGGGCTAAAACAGAATTTGAGTCGGTGTCCGAAATTAATTTGCGATAAATTATTTCAATACTTACAAATGGATACACGTGCTACCGAATAAAATGCGCTCACAAACTTGCAGAGAGAGTGTACAAATGGATACACGTGCTACCGAATCAATGCGCTCACAAACTTGCAGAGAGAGTCACAGCCGATCTTCATAAAAAACTGGGAAGTGTTAAGAAAATACTTACATGGAACATTGAACTAAAGAATGTGACTGGGCAGTGTTAAGAAAATATTTACATGGAACATTGAACTAAAGAATGTGCAGTGTATTGTCAAGAATACTAAGCAACTGACAGGTACACAAAGTGAATTAAATGTTAATTAAAATATACGGGTCCCCAATGCAGCAGAATGTCCTAATAATGACTTAAACGCTGAGCATTGGTGATGTGGAAAGCTTAAAGTTTAGTTTTCTTCAGTTCTTGCGGCCTTAGGCCCACTTCTGAAACTACGAATCCGTTTAGACATCAGGTACGTCTCTCTGACGAGGTCGGTCCGTCTGTGAGAACCAGGAGACATCTATGATCGGGAAACGTTCTGCCCTAAAAGATTGATTTTGAAAGACTGTGTGTGTGTGTGTCCGATGGGACGGGACGGGACGTCACTGCGGCACGAGTAACTTAAAGCTCCATGTACGTCGGTAATTCATTCTTGTTGTATGGAGACACAAAAACATCGCTAGATGAGGTCACAGGGGGCGTTTAATGGCTTACGTGAAACATAAACTTCACAGATGAGAACAAAAAACTGCATTACTTGGACGTAGCAGTACTCGGAAAAGACACAAAGTCTAATATTATAGAACGCTGATGGTTACAGATGTGAGTATATATATATAAATATTCCCGCGACACGGAGAAAGGCATCTCTTGGATACGCGTAACAAAGAACTGAAAATGAACCCTTGGAAAACCAAGAAATAATGAAACAAATAGCAATGCTAAATAACTAGCGTAGTAATGCAGAAGATACTTTTAATCAGAGACATCTGATACATTTGAAAAATAATGACGAAAAATACAGATAACAAACTTTCTTCACAACCCCCCCCCCCCAAAGTTAAATAAAAGGGTAGCATTACTCCAGAAAAATGTAATCAAACTGCATTGTACAAATTAAGTTGTAAATTATATAAGCAAATGGCGTTCCGAATATTTGAGTCACATCACTCGTGAATCATCTCTTATAAGCAGGATTTGGGGCTCTCACGGCACTGAGTACGAAGATGGCTGTCTTCTGGGTTGTAGCGCTGCGCACTCTGAAACGTTGGTTAACACCTACCTGACTACGCGGCGCTACAGCCCAGAAGACAGCCATCTTCATGACGTGCGTTTTCAACACGAATATAACATGACGAATGAATCTTGGAAACTTCAAGAACAACGCTAATACAAAATATTATTTACATTTGGAAACAGTGAACCATTGCAAATGCAGTCGAAAAGATTGGAAAATATTAAAAATTCGCTTTTTAGCTGATAGTCATCGAACTAGTCAACCTTCAGCTGGCACCAGGGGGCTTGGGCGTAGGAGTTATGCGTTAGTACTTGGGGAAAACTTAATATTCAAGCGTTTTGCAAAAATGTAGAACTGTCGAGGGCAAGGAATATAGTATTTATTTATTTATTTATTGTAGGAAACTGTGTTTAACGCACTGTATCAGAACGGTAATCAAAACGATTTAGGATGAAATTTCCGCATCGTTCTGCAGTATCTGCCCATCTACTGTCTAGTTACGTTAGTTTAATGTTGCGCAATTCAGCGGCCATATTGTCACCATGGCAATTTGTGCCTTTGCAGTTGCTATGGCAACACGAACGTTGCATCAGAAGTGCACACAAAAGCCTAATTATCGCCAAATAAAAGTAATTCGCTGTGCCAGATTCTGCAGGATGTCGCAAGCGAACTCATTTTATTGCAATTAAAGTTCATTGCGCATTAAATGGGACGGATGCCTTTGAGAAAATTATGCTATTATATGGCAATATCTAGAAATCTAAAATTAACTCTGACGACAACAGAACCGCTAAACTGACTAGGAACTTATCTAGCACGAACGGAAGGCAAATAGGGAAATTCTGTCTGTGTGTTCCATCTCAAAATCTACTGGACGGATGCCTCTCCCTGTCATCCCCATATGACCAACCCCGTGCTTTATACGAAGATAGGACAGCCCCTTGTCGGCTATCCGCACACAGATATTGGTTTGAGGCGTACAGTGAAGATGTGGTTAATACAGACACAAATGTGCGAAGAGTTTCTTTGGCGTGGACTTATTTTGATGTCTTCAGGGTGACAGCTTTATGACTGGGGGGTGTTAACTTTGCGGTTCTTGCAACAAATAGTCTAGTGCCAGATCGCTCGATAGACGTCGTAAATCGCAGGGAACTTGATTGTGGTATTTTTTTTATACAGGACGCAAACGCGTATTGTCGGGCGAATTCTGCAGTGCCGACGGCGTAACTCAACTGTTCCTGCAGATATTATTGTTATTATTATGCTTTGTTTCTTATTAGTGTGTTCAAGGACAAAATAAATAGCCATTTTGCCTTGTGCACTGTTGGAATTCGTGTGCCTGGAGGGGACTCTATAGAGAATTTTCTGCTTTCATCGTGAGCAGTGCGCAGAGACATTGTCCTCCAGCTAGGCGTCTCATTGACGCAAATGATGTTTTGAAGACTGTTGAATATTTTTAGCAAGAGCGTTGTCTCCTTTGAGGGCACTTCCTCCGTACGACATCGTTTTCAGATCAATTCCATGTTTTTACTTGTGTTGTTTTGTGCGTGTTACGTATTAATGTTTCCCTGTCATGGCTTTCGTTGTTGTTGTCGGCAGACACTCTAATAAAGGAACTGAGTTTAATTAATGTCCGTACCGCAGAAGAGCCACACCTAGTCACTCAAACGCCCCGCACTCGTAATGCAATCCATCATTTGTGTCAGAAACAGTCATCATCCAGCCAGCGAGGAGACGTCAATAAAAGTTTCATGTGTAATTAAGCGGGCGTAGTTAGCAGTTTAATGAATGCAATTTTTTTTCGCTTTTTAGCTTTTACTGATTAAGACGCCTGTCCTGAACTTAATTCTTAAATTATTAATCCTCCGTACCAAGCTCTGCTTTAATCAGTGTAAAAGCGTAGTTTTCAAATGGTATTGTTGATAATAAGTGCTGTGTATTGCGTCGGTGAAACATACAAAACGATGGTCTCTGTTTGTCTCGAAGACGTTTCTTCGTGCATCCTCGACAGGCATCTCGATGCACGAGTGTAAAACTGAGAAGATAAATCACTCCTGCGATTATTTCAACAACTTTCTAAATGAAAATAATAATTTTTAGGCAATGGCGAATTCTTTGAATGCCTACTTCTCGTTTTAGGAACGTAAAGGACACTTTAGTGTTCGATGCTTCAAATAATGGAGTATCACAGTCACGCAAGTAACCGGCTTCGTGTTTCTACCAATGTTTCAGCAAGAGGTCTTACCCTGCGTGGGAGATGTGATCGCCCTTCACAGGGAGTTAGTGAGAGAAGTGCAAAAGAGTAGAAGGAAACTAGGGAGAAATAGACAGACTGAGATACACGAAGACTCAGGGAGAGAAGAAAGGGAGGACGCAGCAGAGTACAATTTTCTTTTCTCAGAAGCGGGTGTAGATTCTCGGGAAATGACTTACGTAAGTTGAAGTTTTCTTGTTTCAGGATGTCATAAAACCAAGCGAACTTACGAAATCTGTACCCGACTTACTCTGCAGTGCCTGTAATGGGATAAGATGTGGCGACATCACACACACAAATACTGTGTCAGAATATTTTATATCTTCAAAGTTACAGACGTGTCTACTGCGAAAATTAGAAGTTTAATGTTGAAATTGGGCGTAGTTTTATGTTCTTCAGTAAACCTACAGTTAAGCACAGGGGTGTACACTTGCTGCCAAATTGGGCTGTGATATAACGAATTCTTCTGGGGCTGTCAGCCGTGGCAGGTGATTGAAAGGCGAGAACGTCTCACCCCCTTTGGGTTGCGTGTCGACTGAGACCTCCTCCATTGACGGTCCTGCGTCGGGTATCCGATACGGTCACTGTCGATAGGCAAAACGCAGAACGGAAGAATTCCAGGGTTTTTAAGACGAGCCTGGAAGTGCCTTTGCTGTCAGACTCTTTACAGATCATCGGCACGTAAAACCTCCTTCAGCGCGTTGGCATTGCATCGACAGATCTGATCTGACGGTGACCGCGAAACTGAAATGTATTTATGATCGCACTAGTTGGTCTTTGGCAGAAAAAATGTCTGTTGTTTAAAATAAGCATTTTCAAACCAAGAACAGCAGAGGATACCAGAGTAAGACGGCCGGAGGTTAAAGGTAACTGCTGAGAGAATCCTGGGGCCGCGGCCTCCTGCTTGGCATCCGGTACAGAAAGACGTCGTTCAAAGACGCTGCAGTAGAAAGGCCGAGAAACCTTGTGTGTGCTGTCAGTTTCAGAAGGTCGTCTCAGCCGTCCGTCGGCTTAGGTAAGTGTGAAGCCTTACACTTTAAAATTTGAGCCTTGAAAGTAAACACTTGACCAGAGAGCGTGACCTTTCAGCTTGAGGATGAGGAAGAAGGCTCAGTGCGGCACGCAATTGCCTGGCCAAAGGTCACAGCACGAGGAAGTGAACAG